ACTGATCCTAATTCCCCCTTCTTTCTGAAAGTGTAGAGTAAATTTCTCAATCGAGTTATCAGATCGTCTTACTACGAAGGCTGGAGCTTTTTCTCCATTTTTGTTTTGTTTTTTTTTTTTGTTCCTAGATTTCAGATTTCATTTAATCCTTTTTTCTGTGGGTATCTTCCTTGCTTTCTATGACTGATATGAATATATTTTGGGCGTGCCTTACTTATATGAAGATTCTATGGTATATTATGAGTAATTCTGTCTCATTTTATTTGTGCCACTAAGTGATGAAGCTTGGTTGATTTTGAAGGTCCATATTACTCAAGGTGATCATGATGGGTCGGCAATAATAGTATCATGGGTGACACCTGATGAGCCTGGTTCAAGCTTAGTCCTGTACGGGACATCTGAAAACCACCTTACTTTCTCAGCTGAGGGTAGGGTGCATCAATACAAATACTACAACTACACCTCAGGATACATTCATCATTGCAATATCAGAAATTTGAAGGTTTTGTGATTAGTAATGACCAACTTTTATTTTCTTACTCTAGAATTTGTTGAATTGATTGATAAGATTCTTATTAGTAAAAATTCTTCCTTTTGCTTTGATTGAATTTTCATGATTCTGAAGTCTACTTTTATTGTGATATGGTTTTGCTCTTGTATCTCAGTATGATACAAAGTATTACTATGCAGTTGGGGTTGGACATACACTGAGGAAGTTTTGGTTCACAACACCTCCAAAAGTCGGCCTCGATGTTCCTTACACATTTGGCCTTATAGGTAACATTCTATTGCATATGCTTTATTTGTTCCTTCAACAATTGCAAGATGATTGCATCTCTCTAATTTACCTTGTACTTATCATCATCATCAACAACAACAACATCATCATCATGAGCCTTATCTCAACTTTTTGAGGTTGACTTTACAAGTCCTCATTTTTTTATTCATTTTTTAAGGTGGTACAAGGGGTGTTTATATATTTTTTTGCAAACTTTTTTTAACAATTTATATTAATTTTATCCTAGGTCTCTCCTTTTCATTCCTAATACTTCAACCTATAGTTTAACTATCTATATATGTAGTGATTTCTATCTTGGGTTATACACGTTAAAACTATTTAAGCCTATTTAAAATAGTTTATCTTTGATGAATATTGCTCCAAACATCCTTCTAATATTATAACTTCTTAATTTATCCTTCTTAGTTTTGCTTGATATCTATCTTAATATTCTCATTGTCATTATGGTCAATTTAGCTATAGATGACTTTATAATTTCCTAACACTTTCTTCCTTCACTTTCTCAACATTGTATTCTTTTTGTTATAAAAGTTTCTCATTTGTTCTTTCTTTGGCTTCATTTATGTTACTTGAGGTAGTTTTATATGATTCTCATATACTTGTAGGTGACCTTGGACAAAGTTTTGATTCAAATCGTACACTTACTCATTATGAATCAAACCCAATAAAAGGGCAGGCAGTGCTATTTGTGGGTGATCTTTCTTATGCTGATAACTACATGTATCACGACAATGTTAGATGGGACACTTGGGGAAGGTTTACTGAGAGAAGTGCTGCATATCAGCCTTGGATTTGGACTGCAGGGAATCATGAGATAGACTTTGCGCCCGAGATTGTGAGTATCATCTGCTCATGCTGCCATATTCTTTTGTTATAATGACTACTTACCCTCTTTTATTTATTTTTACAAATTCTCTTTCAAATAATATGTTTTTGATATTTGTTGAGGTTAGGAAAGTTGATTTGAAAATTCTGAGAAATTTTATAATATGAGTGATGCATAATTGCTTTTTTTACAATATTCATAGGGGTTAGGTTAATCAAACTGTGATGTATGTGGACCTGAATTAGATATAGAAAGTTGTTGAATGTTGAATTGACTTGAACCATTTGCTACTCTATACTCACTTATTATGAGTTGGTTGAAACCTTGAAATCATTAAGCAGCCCGGTTGCCAACTTGCCACTTAATAACCGGGCTTAACTTGATTCTTTACATTAAGTGACTGGCCTTGCCAATGGAATCAAGAAGTCATTTACTCGCTAAGGATATTTCCTTGAGGTACTCGTTAACCTGCTTATAATACTCACAAGAGTACTCATTGACTAACAAGAGTACCAACATAAGGAAGCGTCAAAGGTACTTTTGAAATATAAAACTTATCAACTCTCCAAGGATTACATTCGACTCGCCAAGTTAACTCATTTTATGTTTGTATGAAATTGCCAATTTTATAGCATTGGCTATAGTCTCTGCTTGTAAATAGGGTCTTAGAGGTCAAGCAAGGGCATTGAAAATATCATGAATTATCTCATTCTTTGAATTGTGTTCTCTTAATTTGATGTGACTTGCCTTTTTCTTTATAAACCAAGTCTTGGGAGATTTTTTGACAAGTAACTCTCTCCCTTCCTATTCTCCCATAGTCTCATCCAAGCGTGATTCAATTCTTTAGTAAAGTCCAATTTATTTTTTATGGACATCTTAGATCCAATATCCTCTTAGATGAGAAGAGTGTGGAACACGTTGAATAGTCGAGAATCTATTGTGTCCACTGGACCCAAACTATGCCTAACTTGAGGGTTTCTATTGTGGTTCCATCTCAACACAATGAATCTTCTCCTTGAATGAGTGTTGTTGTGAGTCCTCTTCCTTGTAGACCTATAAAACCTTGAGGCTCGACTAAAAAACTCTTTCTTTGTTCAAATTGCAGTGGCTCAACTACCTTTGAAGTTTAAGATGTTGGTGCTTGATTTTGTACAAGGCTAAATTTGATCCTATTGACTATATTTCTTTGAAGTTCTTTAACTTACTGAGGATCCATATTCTCTTTGTTTTCCTCGATCTTTACTTTCTTCTATGGCACTTTTTTTTTATGAAGATACCTTAACAAACTTCTGGAATTTCCTCTTCAATGCTTCTTTATTGAATGGCTTTTGTAGCCCATCCACAACAAGTTAGCTCGAGGCTTTCTTGAACTTCATTTTCCAAAAGAGAATATCTGAAAAATCAAAGTTTGGGATCATAGCAAACTCAAAAATTTAGAAGATGAAACTTAAACCTTGAATTTATAGATGTCACTGCTAATTTATAGGACATGCATTAAGAATCTAAGCATTTTTTATTCCATTGCTCTAGATTTATTTACGCTTGTAACTTGTAACATTTATACCAAATCGAATTTTAGAAATTTATTTTTCTTATCCTTCTCGAGTTCTCAAAAGGAGCTCAAAAATCAGAGAACTAATATACACCCTTATTGGCACGGATTGGATTATCAAATTATGATGTGGAGTTGAACTTGGTTATGAAAGTCACTAAATGTTGACTTAGCTTAAACCGCTACAACTCGGAGCTTGCTTGCTTGGTATTCACCTTAAACCTTAAAATGTGCAAGTTGTTGAATTACCAAAGGGTTGTCTAAGAGCTAGTTGTAACTCATTCCTCAATATTAAGTTGTTGAACTCACCAAGGGACTTAATGCCACGTCCCAAGATCTAAATTGGAAGACTATATTTTATCTTTTTACCAAAGCTTAAATCATTCTTATAAAGTAATATCTAGTGAAATCAATTAAATATCATACACCAGAAAATATTTCAAAATATTTATTCATCAAAATCACATTTACGATAGCCAAGAGATCACTAACAATCACTAATCTATCAATGACTCCTAGTTACAAAAGAATAAAAGAAAATATAGAGCGAAATCAAAAGAAGTATTAAGAATCTCATTCAGTACCACTCCACATGGTCCTGACCCCTTCCCTGACATGAAATCAATAAAATCACATAATGAGCTTACAAAGCCCAACATAAACCTAAAACTCGCCAAAACTTTTAATACAAGATCTAAGAAATTAATATGCATGCTCATCTCAATCAATAAATTCAGTAGCATTCAATTTTATCAATGATCAGTTATCCCTAGCACTATTTAATATGATCACCAACGAGAAATAAGAAACATCTTGCTAAAATCCATAAATCCGTCACAAATGCGAGAACATAATTACATCAGAAATCAATAAATTAGTACTGTAGCGCTAACATGTATGTGTTAATATCATCAAGGTCATTAGTCATATCTATCTTATCAATTATTTATTCTTATGAAATCAGTATAAGTAATGCACACACACTTTGCTGTTTATTTATCAGTGCTATCAATGCTATTAATATATGAATTGCATTAGTATATGATTCAATATAGAGTTTAGTAAGGCAGAACATTCAGCTTTAATGTGGTGTTTTCATTCCTTCATATGTATTTATTATCATTACAACATCTTTATCATTTTATCATTTAAGGTGGCTTTTAATAAATCTTTAAGAGCCATCACCCTCTGCCGGTCGGCGTGATTAGTCATCAGTTATAGGCTACAACTGGGATAACACTATAAATTATCTTTAAAGGAAGGCCCGTCACCCAACCCTTATGTATAGCGTATTATGTTTTAAGAGCAAATCCATATTAATTATATTTTTAACAATCAGCCTTTCTTGCTTACATGCAAATACTATATTTATTTCATATAAGTTGTATCAATCTCCCTTCATGCATGAAATACAATATGAAATATTAAAATCTATAAATTCGGGAAAATCTGTATAATAATCGATACCTTTAGAAAATCATTAAGTTTTTATTTTACATTTTTACCAATTGAAATTCAATAATATTAAAGTCAAAATATCCATAAAGTTTGTATGTATCATATGCAAAAAGTTGCAAGGTAAAAATGCAATAAATCAGAAGAACATATATTTTATCGATTTAGGAGAGATTAAATTCGTCAAATTCAAAATCATTGAGAATTAAAGTGAGATTTGAGTTACTTACAACGATCAGATTACTTTTTATATCAGAAGCGATGGACAACAATGACCAAAACCTGCTTTCTCTCATCCATCTCTCTTCCTCTCCCTTTTCCTCTCTTCTTCCATGCATGACACTGAAAATGGGGGAGGTGGCGGTGTTTGAAGCTTTTATTGTCTAAGATTTTATTAAATACATATAAAAATAATATTAATGGCCTAGCGCCGCAGCGCCGCATATTGAATTAAGAATAACTGTAGAATAGAGGCTTTTATGCCGCGAAGAAGGTTTTTGGCGCTGCTACGCTCAAAGGGTAGTGCCTCATAGATCTCAAGCTCAATGCTGTAGTGCTTAAGTTCAAACATAAATTTAGATTTTCATTTTAAAAACTTTTTCATATTTTGGGTTGTCACTTGTCACACTCAAGAAGTCACTAACTTGCTAAGAACCTGAGGTGCTCGCAAACTTGTTTAGAATACTCGCCTATAATGCTTGTCGCCCAATAAGAGGTTCTTTATTGGAGAATTTGCCCAGTGTTCCTACTGAGAGTACATACCGACGGAAGTCATTTAGGGTACTTGCCTAAACTATGGAGTCCACTAACTTTCTTGGGGCTTCGTTCCACTACGAGGTGGAGCCACTTGCTACATAACTAGCTAATATGAGATCAACCTATGCATTCTATGTAATTTTATAATTTTTTCAACTATGTAGCATTTACCTTAATCTCTACCTATAAGTAGGGAAACAAAGGTTAGGCGCGGGCTTGCAAACTCACACAAAATTTCCCTTTTCTTGAATTGTGTTTCCTAAACTCGGTCTGACTCACCGAATGTTGTCAAAAGGGATATGAGTCATATGACCGGGTTCTATCCAAACCAGTTCACTAAGTGTTTCTTCAAGAACTAGCTTCTCTCTTCTTTGTCTTTTAGCATCCTGACATGATTCTATTTGCTAGCCAGGTCTTTGTTATTTACCATGGACATTTTTTAATCCAAAATCTTCTTTGCTAAATAAGGAACAAAATGTTATCTTTATTTCTTGACTTCTTAAGAGAGGTTGATCTGATTCATAATGACTATTAGCATCCCTTATGCTTGTATTGCCTATAATTTCGGATCGAGAGGCAGCATGATTTCTTTATGTGGAAAAATTAATATAGATGTGGAGAACTGATTAAAGATATTTTATGGTCTGAAAAGGAAATCAGAATGACTAATGATAATTGATACTTACAAAGGGAAAATGCGGTTAATTTGATACAGATGTGAACACTACTTCTGGACTCTTGTTCTTTATTGAAGATTCTATGCTCTCTATGCCGTTTCCCTTTTTTTTTTTCATCACATTTACAGTTATTTTCCTTCTAAAAGCTTTTGGTCTGTATGTTCCATGATTTTGAAGTTCAGTGATTGAGATTTCTGCTACATTGTGCAGGGTGAAGGTGTTCCTTTCAAGCCTTACAAAAATCGATATCATGTCCCATACAAAGCTTCAGGTAGTACAGCTCCATTCTGGTATTCCATCAAGCGAGCCTCAGCATACATCATTGTCCTCGCTTCATATTCAGCATACGGTATGCCCCCTCTTTTTTCATTATATTTTTGGGGTGAAGATGATCATTATGGATAAAGTTGGATGTTTTCCATTGAGCATTTGTGTTGCTGAACACTATCTAAGGGGTGTCAATATTTGACACGACCCGAAAACCCGACTCGAACCCAACCCGGACCCTAAACCGGTCCGGAAAAATGGGTCGGGTTCGGGTTTAGCAAATCGACCCATTTCAAAAACCAGGTCAAGTTCAGGTTGACCCAGTAACCCGAAATTGATCTGTTTTTTACCCAAAAATCCGTTGTCTCGGAAACCCGGGATTGAACCGCTTTGACCCGAAAATCGGAGATTGACCCATTTTTTTGACCTGAAACTAATAATTTGTGGTCCATCCCAAGTCATTCAGGCTGTGTCGGGTTGACCCAGACCCGAAGTGGGCCGGGTTTGAGTCCGAAAAACTGACCCGTTTACTGAAACGGGTCGGGTTCGGGTTGACCCGAATAGTGCTTGGTCAATTTGTTGTTGGACCCAAATCCGACCCGTGACCTGAAATTGACACCCCTTGTATCTAGTAACATATTTGAGATATATTGTTATATTTATTTGTTGTAGAAAAAAATTTAATCATTCATCACTCAATAAGTAGTCTTACTCTTTTAGGTTTCGTTTGAGACAACTTTCTTGCTTTAAAAAGCGATAAAAAAAGCAGTTACAAACGAAGCCTTAGTTAATCAATTAATTGTAAATTATTCTATTTCAATGTTGTGAAACATATGGCAAGCTCATAACAGGTGAGCTTCCTTTTTCTGTTTAGAATTACATTCCTAAGCTCATAATCAATGACCAATTACTTGTACTTCCCATTATAATATTTTGAAGGAATTGTAATGCACAGTTCATTGTTTCTTCCTATCAATATTGTAAGTTCATCTTTCTTTGTACAGGGAAATACACTCCTCAGTACAAATGGCTCGAGGCTGAGCTGCCAAAAGTAAATAGAACCGAGACCCCTTGGCTAATTGTTCTTATGCATTCCCCATGGTACAATAGTTATAATTACCACTACATGGAGGGTGAAACCATGAGAGTTATATACGAGCCATGGTTTGTAAACTATAAGGTTGACGTTGTATTTGCTGGCCATGTTCATGCATATGAACGCAGTGTAAGTGCTCTTCTTCTTTCATTTTACTTGGGCTTTGTTTGGGACGGCTTTTTTTCTGCTTTTTAAGGGTATCTCCAATGGAACGCCATACAAACGTACGGCGTTTCTTGATCGCTCCATCCGAGCCGCATTTTTGCCGCTATTTGACTGCGGGTGCACAGTGCAACGTCAATATTAGCGTCGCACTGTTCATCCGCCATTTGTTTTTTTTTTTTTTTTTTAACTTCGAAAATGAAGTATGGGAAGGAATATACTTGGAATATTTTTTTTTGTGTTAGAAAATGGAGTTCGGTTGGAGACAAGTTACTGCATTTTGGAGTGAAAAATGAGTTTTTTGGTTGGAAATGCTCTAAAGCAGCTTTCTAGTAAAAAATAAAAAATTTTGTGCTAGAAAGGTACTTTAAAAAGTAGTAAGATAGCCGTCCCAAATGAAGCCTTAATTTGTTCTGAAAGTTTAAGTTTCAACTTAATGTTATAACATTTTCATATCCATTAACTATATTGAGCTAACATACTTTCCAATTTGCTCAGGAAAGGATATCAAACATTGCATATAATATTATGAATGGGCAATGCAATCCTGTTCCTGACCAGTCTGCCCCGGTGTATATCACTATTGGTGATGGTGGAAATCAAGAAGGGCTTGCTAAAAAGTAAGTTTATTTAGACTTCGGGCTTGTTTGGGACGGCTTTCTTCTTGTTTTCTAACACAACTTTTTAGTACAAAATTTTTTTAAATTTGAAAATTTTGGAGTAGCTCCAGTGGAAGATAAGAATAGAGAGAGTCACCGTAGATGGTTTGGTCACATTAAACGGAGGCCTTTCGATGACCCAGTTAGGAAAGTTGAGGTATTAGATTTGACTTATGTTAAGAAAGGTAGAGGTAGACCTAAAAACACTTGGTTAGAAAATATTAGAAATGATCTTTTTTTATTAGATTTAAATGAGAATTTGACTTTTAACATGACACAATGACGAAAAAGGATTCATGTAGCCGACCCCACGTAGTGAGACAAAGGCTTGATGTTGTTGTTGTACTAGAAAGCCGTTTTAGAAAGCAGTACGAAAGCTGTCATTTCGTGTGGGACTGCTTTCTAACTGTTTTCTAGAATAACTTCTTAGCACAAAATTTCTAGTTCAAGAAATTGCTGTGCTAAAAAATCGCTTTATAAAGCAATAAGAAAGTTGTCTCAAATAAAACCTTAATTTTATGTTCTTTTTTAAAAAAAAAAAAATCTATTTCATTGCAGCATGACAGAGCCTCAGCCAAAGTACTCGGCATTCAGGGAGGCTAGTTTTGGCCATGCCATATTTGATGTGAAGAATAGAACACACGCTTATTATTCCTGGCATCGCAACCAAGATGGCTACGCGGTGGAAGCTGATACACTGTGGTTCTACAACAGATTTTGGCACCCTATGGAGGAATCATCAGCATCTGTATGACTGAGAACTTTGGCTACAGGCTTCTTTCTTCAGCAACAGCCACCTTGAAGTTCTTCGTGAGTCGCCCATGCCACAGTTTTTGAAGGAAGGCTTTGCTAGCTTTGTTAAAGTTCATGCTTTGAAGTCTGTTTATCTAGCCTTAATTTTATTCTTTTTCCATATTGGCCCTGCATGTTTGTAGACCTTGAATAAAAATGGTAAAATGGGGAAATAAATGTCTTTAAGTTGGTAAAATGGGGATTATTTTGCCCATTTTGTTATTTTTTTTTTGCAAAATTAATTTTGTTAATTTTGAGGTAATAAAATCATGTTTTTAAAAATAATAATTTTGTTAAATTCATTTTTTGATTGGATATAAACTGAGCCCTTAGGGGATTTAGTTTAATGTACTTCAAATGTAAAATAAATGCATGTAAAATAGCTATAACCAATTTTGTTGTATTTACTTTGGAGTTGGGGAGGAAATGATCTACAATGTAATTGTATTATTGTACCAATTTTATTTTAAACCAAACATCAAAAGAGAAAATCTGTAAGCAGCTATTTTTATAGTTCATCAACCTTTATTTTTAGTTTTTTTTTTTCTTAAAAAATAATACTGGAATTCGACGATGAAATTATTAACTCATCAAATGGCATCAATTATGTCGGCTTCTTCGAGGAAAAAGAAAAAAGAGACTCAATTGGAGTGACAGTTTAACCTAATCTTAGTGAGGTTTTAACCTCATCTCAAATGACCTATGGTGTCAAAAACAGGTTGATCGGTTGGGTTCAGGTCTCCGACTTGAATCCAGTCAACTCGAACCCAACCCGTTTGATAAATAGGTCAAAAATATTGACCCGAACTCGATCCGCTAGCAACCTGAATAACCCGCCTGACCCTATAACCAGTTTTGGTTAATTTTTTTTTAATAGCTTATTACCTATAAAATTTAGCATATTTGATGAAAAATAAGAAGATTATATCTACAAGTAAATAATAATAATAATAATAAATGGGTAATTTCCTGCCAAAAATAGGTTCGCGGTCAACCTTGAACCCGACTCCAAAAATAACCTGACATGTGAATCCGTTCCAAAAAATTCAATTTTGGTTGACCCACTTAATAAACATGTTAGAAAAAACCCAACTAGAATACTACAAGTTTATTAAACGGGTCAACTCGAACCTGATTTTTTAGGGTCGAGTTTGTAGGTCGGGTCATTTTTTGGAAAAAATTATTTAGTGCATACGCCGAACACCATTTAGAGACCAATCGGAATGTACCACGTCACTCCTTCGCTCGGTACTGCGCCTCGATACTGCTAACGTGGCTGCACCTGATTCCTCTCCAGACATAGAGCTGCATTAGGCGTCCACACATCCACACAGAATAATTTCTATATTTTTTGACATCCCTAGTTTAACATGTCTAAAAGGGAAATGGCATTCTTGTAATTTAAAATCTAGATTTTTAAATAGTTACTATTAAGCTTAGTGCATCTCCAACCGAAAATCTCATTTTTCACTCCAAAATGCCATGAAACTAAAAAATGTCGTGATTCATCTCCAATCGAACTCCATTTTGCAGCCTAATGGTTGTTCTCTTCTTTCGCACGTTTCTTGGGCAAGTTCGGTAGAGATCAAAAAATGGCGCAGATGAGCAGTGCAACGCCAATATTAGCGTCGCACTGTTCATCCACGATGAAATGACATAAGAATTGCCGCTCGGTTAGAACGGCGGAAGAACGGCAAACAATTGTTTGCCGTTCCATTGGAGATGCTCTTAAGATTTTTAGTGGAGGTGAATGTGGAGGTGGTGGTGGAGGTGGGTGTGGGGAGTCTACCCATAATTCTGCAGTAAAAATTGATTTTTTTTTGTAGTTTTTTAAGTTTAAAATAACCCCAAAAGATATAATGGGTAGAGCTTGGCTTGGCTAGTGATGCTCCTACAAAACTTTTGGACTTTATACTTTATAGTATATTTATAATTTACTGGAATTTTTGGAATCCCATGGCAAATTGGTACATCTGGGATTTCAAGAAAAATCGAATTTTGCAATTGTTGTATTTTTTTTCTTCACATTTTTACCGCAAATAAAGCTCTTTGCAAGCTGATTATTACAAAAATTTCATAATTATTAGAGCTTTGTGCATTTTTGATGAGTTTTTAGAATCGACACAACATTACAGTGGTTTAATATTGGACTTCTTAGCTTTGATTTGATATGTGAGGCTTGAGGTTGAGCTTGATTAATTAAACAAGTTCGAGCTGACTCATTTATTATGAAAGGAAAAAAATAATTATAATTTAAATTGCTATTATAATAAAATGATAATAATTATCAAATTGTCATTTTTTTTATCAAATTTGACTCACGAGCCCAAGTCTGAGGGGGCTCTATAGTCGGCTGCACTCACTTATACTCCTAACATAGAGGTCTTCTTTGGGAATTGGAGCTTAGGATTTTTAAATTTGAGCAAAAATCCCATAGTGAATACCTCCTTTAAATGTCTTCATTTACTTAAACGTCAGGCAATGTTTTGGTTTGGCCATGAAGTTTAAGAATCAACTAGGTATATAACAATCCGAACAGTAGTGGTTTTAGGGTAAAGAAAAGAGTAGAATTGTAAGTTCAAGAAATTTTGGAGATCATTGCTAACTATTTTAGCAAAAATTCCATCAATTTTTGTCTAAATTACTTGAGATTTGGAGGATATGGTCTAGACTTAATTTGCTAAGACTTCTTGATACGTCACAAAAAATCGTCTTTATCAGGTGCCAAACTCGAGGCAATCTAAGTTGAAAACTTTTGAAATTAAATTCAGGATCATCCAAACCCCGATTTCAGCAAGCTTAAAGTCAAATTGAATATCTCAAGGAGATGAACCCAACGACACCAAATTCAATCCAATCCGAGTCCAAATGGGTCCAAATAAAATGATCAAAGCATATTTGGAAGCTTTATAGTATTAATTGGATGACCAAATGATATCCAAATATGACATGTTTATAGTTGAATCGAGCTGCTCAATGAGACGAATCCAATGAGCCCAAGATCGATCACTCAGTTTTGACTACGGTCCTTCCGACCACCGTCGCCTGCCGACTACAGTCCTTTCGACCACCGTCCCTCGCCGACTACGTTCCTTCCGACCACCATCGCTCGCCGACTAGATTCCTTCCAACCACCATCGCTCGTCGACTACCACTTTCGATCACCCTCGTCTGCTGATTACGATCCTTCCGACCACCGTCGCTTGCCAACTAAGGTCCTACTTAACAAATAAATATTCCAACACTCTCTTAAGAACTACTGTCATATAATGCATTCTATACAATATGTATTTGCTACATTGAGCCAACACCCTCCTCCAAATAGAGGTATCATTTGTAATCAACTATCAGTATTAGTGGATTCATTCAAACAGGACCAAACCTTGTGAGTTTTTTTCCATTTAAGGGGTTTCAACATAAAAATCTTGATATCTCTTATGAATATTGCACCCAACTTTTTATATGTTTGTGTGCTGGATCTTTGTACAAAGCTAGGAGGCTGAACTTTATATATATCCATCATTGTGAATATTCTAGGACACAACAATTTGACATCGTCTATGAGAAAATGATTTCTGGCTGTGAGGCAACCTTTGTTGCAACCTTAAAAGATCGTATATATCAACATCTTGGGCATAGTTTAATTTTTCAGATGCTATTTTTTATATCTCTTATCTTAATGCAGCAGCTGAAGCAGTGCTTTATATGATGCATGATATTTTTCTTGTTTAGCTAAATGCATCTTTATCAATTGAGATCACACATTAAATTTGTTTTGGCAAGTATAATGCCTACTTTAAAGCCCTTAGCTTGAACAAGAACTTAAATATGTTTAGTTTCAATGGAGTCATTGTTTTCACTCATTTTTAAATTCAAAATATAAAACCTTTTATTGCTCATGCCCAAAGTCAATAATTTGGGATCACCAAAGTCAAACTATGGAGGAAAATTGTAAGGGATGAGTTGTGAAAGCTCGATTTTCCTTCCAGGATCGTCCGGGATGATCGGTACAGAATCTGTGGACAGAGAGGTTCGTCCCAGGACGAAATTTGTCCGGAGGGCAAGCCGTCCAGGGACGAAAACTGTTCACGTCTATACTGATCGTCTTGGACGATCCAACTTCGTCCCGGACGATCCTGGAAGGAAAATCGAGCTTTCACATGAGTATCACGGGCCAACATGAGTAAAGTAAAGTAGACTGACTTAATGGAGTAAAACTATATGTGCATAAACCTAATATTACATTTCTTGATTTTGTGGCGAAGGTAAGATGTATATGTCAAAGTGTTTTCAAGCATATGCTTTTGATGGATATGTAATAACACCTTCTTGCGAGATGTATTCATTATGCCATCTCATATGTACAGTAGATCTCATGAATGCATATAATTGTTATAGTATAGGAATTATGGATAAGTAAAATATCTTATCGACTGATATATCCTTCAGCTTTCTTTTTATCTCAGACATTAGTTTAAATCTTGATGCATTGCAATGATCATGTAATCTCTAATAAATAATATTTATAGCATAACGTACATAATTATGCAATATCATATGTGCAGTAGATCTCATTGATGCATATAATTGTTATAGTCTAGGAATTATAGGTAAGTAAAACATTTTACTGACTATTACATCCTTCAACTTTCTTTTTATCCCAGACTTTGATAAATAATCTTTATAGTATAATATGCATCCATTGATACAACAATATATTTTTTGTAAATGTCAAATCAAGTTTGAAAACCAACTTCTTAGTTCAATATAAATATGTAGGAATTATATCATCTGCCAGGTTGGTTTCCTTAAGCAGCCTAACGAATTGATTAAAACATTCACGGGGGATATTATATTATACATTGATGCTTAACATCTTCACAGCAATAAATAACTCTGAGTGAGTGATGCACCACTTTTATATTGGTTGTTGGACAGATGTAAAAAATTATAAAAAATTCGTGCGTTCTTATTTGGTGACTCTTTTATACATTATTCAAATTATGCCCCA